TATATATATATATATATACACGCTACATACATACACATACATACATATATATGTGCATACCTATAAAAAAAATTATGTTCAAAAACTTGTAATGGAATGATTTATCACTCCGTTCTTAAGGTCATTGTAAATGTGTTATTTCTAGCCTTGTGCCTCTCAATTGCTTCTATTTGAATTTTGAAGGTCATGAATAATAGGAAATTTGAAGATATTTTACTCGAACTGCCGATAAATTTATTTAAAAAAAAATTCATTTTTCCTATTCGCGTTTCAAATTTCCTTTCATTCGTTCTTCGAAAATCACTTAGAAGCAAGCTCGTTTCTGTTTGTTTGCCTCTCCTCGACATTATTTGATCACTGTTCCGAAAGTAAGCGAAAAAATTGTTGTTGAGTTGTAAATATAGCGTACGTTTATAATGATAACGATAAACAATAGCCTTAGGGGTATTGCTAATATCACCATTATTAATATCAAGAACTATGCGATAGCTTTAATAATATTTATCATATGATCGGCAGTTAATAAAACTCGAAGGACTCCACTTGACTCCACTTTCCTGACCAGCAGGGTCACGTTTTTGAAAATTCTGAAAGTTTCACTAAAACGAAATATACGATACAATACAATATCGAGGAGTATCTTTGTACAAATTTTATTGTATTATTTGTTTTTAAGTTTTTTGTATCCAATTTCTTAACAGATTTCCGTACAAAGATAACTCTGATTTACTCTGAAACATTTGTATAGAAGAAAGTAACACGCTGAAGATGCCATATTTAGGAATATTTTATTAATAAGAAGATAATAGTTAATGATGGAACATCGAGTTTTGTACAGGCACTGTCATTTTTATTTTTGTTTCCTCATTCAAAGAGACATTTCTGATTTATATTCAAGAACTTTGTTTTTTGTTGTAACGTAATTTAACAACGTGTTACTTATTTAATTGTTTGCATGATATAATTGGCATTTTGCTATCTTGCATTATGCAAGACTAACTGTATTTGTGAAATGATATTTTGAGAGAATATTTTGAGAAACAAACTGAGTAAACAAACTTTTCCCTGAGTTATATAGGAAACCTTCTCTTTCTCTAGGGAGGTAATCTTGTTATTAATCTATGTTGTATTTTATACTGAAACAATATTTTTTATTTATACAGCCCATGCAACATATTGTGCACAGTTAAAAGAAAATAAATGGTTTTATTAAAATTTCTTATTATTTATAAATAAAAATACTATAAAAAGTCATATTTTTGAGTAAATGTTTTAACATTGTAAATGAATAAGAAACAATGTGATAGCATATCTTTTATAAAGAAATTAAATTTTACGTTATAAGTAATCTTTTTGTGAATCGGTGACTTCCGTCTTTCTTTAATGAAATTTGTAATTCATACTTGCTGCCAAAAAGAAGTTTCCAATGAAATTGCCATTATGCAAAACCGACTGTTGTGTATAGAAATAGAGGACATAGTTTATAGGGCTCTGAAATTAATCGATTAATAGTAAAAATAAATTAATCCATTTTTATATTAATAAATTGATAGTTATCTAGAATAATCGGACAAGTTAAACATCAATATTTATTCATTAATCGATTAATCGTGCAGCCTTGATAGGTGAGATCGCGAGAAATCACTTCTGTATCATATCTTTTTCACAATAATAGTAGTTCGTACGCTAATCATACAAGTGCGTAGAAATGCGTACGTGTCACAAACACAGGGCACCAAGAAATTTTCTACGAGCCATTTTTTTTATTCTGATGCACATTAATCGCAACGTGATATACTTTTGTGTCAACAAATCACATTCTATTTGCACGAACACGGAAAAGCTGTAAGACAACACGAAAATGCGTGTTTGCGGTGAGGCGAGAAATGGTGCTGTTATTTTTTGCGGATATAAGAAGCTTGTATATTTTTGCGTCTCTTATTTATAAGATGATCATTTACAAATAAAATTACAAAGAAAAATATTATTATACTTTCAGTGTTGACCTCTTATATACGAATTATTGATATATTTTTCATAAAATAAGAATAATTTACAAAATGCTTTAAACATTTATTCATATCATATTTACACATTTTATTTTTATGCGTTTTGTACATTTTGTATAAAATTTATTGTACTTATATGCTCGAAAGAAAACATTGAATTTCGTTTATCCTATTATTTAAAGGAGTCTGTGAAGATATATTTTATTACATTGGCATTTACATTTTCATTTACATTGATTAACTTAATAATGTTGTATTATTGTTTTAAGGCACCATACATAGTAAAAGATCAAGGATTTTACATGACGAAATAGTATTTCAATATGTCCTTTGTATATTAAATTAAAAATTTATACTTTTATGGCTTGTAATTTCTTCTGGAAATTAGATTTTTCAATAATGCATTAATCTTAAAAGAAATGGCAAGAGACTACATTTTTTACATCGTTTTATGATTTAATCATATTAAAAAATTGATGTAATCTTGTAATATCTACAAATCCATGTAAGTAAAATGATTTTAATTATGTAATCGCACGGATTTTCATATGAACTATAGTTAAACGTAAGTGCAACTGTTTTGTTTAATTTTATATTAAAAATTAGTTGTATAATATTTTAATAGGCACTTAAGTTTATTAGGCAAGAGTAAAAATATTTGAGAATAAGGTTAATGTTCTTCGATAATATTTCAAGTTTCACAACCTACTATCTTTAATAATATTTTCTGGCGCATCTAATGCTTTCTTCCGGTTAGCTATTGCATTCATTAATTTTCTTTTTGGTCCGAGTGGAAGTTTAAGTGCTGCGATATCAGCTTCAGTTAGTAACATTAAGGCTTCTAGATCAATTTGTTCTGATTCTAAAATTGGATGTACGGATGAGAGATTATTGGCAACTAAAAATCTTTGTAATGGTGTCCATTCCTCATCGGTCTCCTCTTCTATAATTATATATAATATTACATATATGAAATTTAAATTTAAAGTAAAAGTTTATCAGACATATAACAGTACATTAAAAATATGTATGTAATAAAATTTGAGAATTTTACCTGAAAAGGATTTTACCTGAAAGTAAATCATCATCCCACATGTTTTGCCGACGAGCTAAACTACCTGCGCTTCCTATGCTGATTTCTTCGTTGTGACCATTGGAGTTGGCTCTATGACCATTTATAGATCCGTTTACCGAAGAGTTACCATTTTGTTCATGTGCATCCACTTGCGAAATTGGTAAGTTATCGAAAGTAGTTGTTATCTAAAGTTAGAAAACAGTAGTCTTACTGCTTTAAATAAATATCATTTGAGACATTTTAACAGCGTTAATAAATTATTATTATCATTATTAAATACATTACTAACTTGATGTCTCTGTCTTATTTTTGAAAAAATAAGCAATGATCTTAAATTGAATGGAATGTACAATTATTGCGAACGGTGACCGTGTATTTAATTTTACAGTTAGTGCATGTCATTATAACACTAATAAGTGTTGTGCCAAGATGTATTTTATGTCTTAGGAACATTTTGCGATTAAAATTCTTTATGCTTATGCGAAACCATAATTTAATTAATTAAAATGACTCGTATTTTGACAAAATATTACGCTTCAATATTTAAATTAATTGAAACAAACATTCTGCTTAATTGTTTTATATAAGAACATTTGATAGATAAACTCACCGCTCTTCGAAATGCTACCGATCCGAAACCAGGTCGATTAAAAATACTCGCCGGTTCTTGCAACAAAACGTTATCTCTTACACCATTTATGTCTTCTCTATCATCTTGCTCGGTATCCTCGTCGAAATATCGATCGCCCAAGAGATCAGGAGTACTTTGTGCTTTGCTTAGTGTACCCCAAACATCGGAGATTTTTCCTCTCCTTCCTATTTGTTGAGTTTGTGTTTCATAAGTCCCTACATACATTACTTCCGAATCCCTTCTAAGGCCAGTGAGGCTACGTACCGACTTCTTTCCATTCACTTCAATCTAAAAATATGTAATGTATTTTATTAGAAAGAGAGTGAAATGTAAAGTTTTAATTCTCTTTAATGAGATATCTTTTTTACCTCTACCACTTTAAAATCATCAACGGCTTTTTTTGCTAAAGCTTTTCTGCATACCGCACTACCGTGCTTCTTGTTGGTGGTGTTAACAATATCGCTGAACGTTGGTGAAGGTTTCACTCGACCTTTGAAGGTCAACATAGCGGGTTTATGAGGTAGAACGCAGGTTTCATTAACCGTAGCTAAATCCAATTTCGTTCGATTTTTTGATGACTTCCTTTGTTCCTTTTCAGATCTGATTTCTGCCATCTTTTGCTTTTTCATATATTCTTTTAATCTGTTGTGTACATAGTTGAATAAATTGAAGTTATATCGATGTTGAGATATAAAATTTTTATTATATTACATTTAAATAATTGTATGAATACCTTTTTTCTGCATCTTTCTCTGCTTTTTCCCGAAGTAGACGGCTCTTTTTACGATTATTTAATTCCTGATCGGCTTGAGCAAGATCCAAAAATTGAAGAGTCATTTCTCTACCATTTATGGCGGCTAAATCTCTAGCTGAATGCCTGTCGATGTCCAATGACCAAATATTGCAGCCAAATTTCACGAGGAATTTCACACAATATTCATGACCCCTTGCCGCTGCCAGGTGAAGAGCCGTATTACCGAAATAATCGGTTTTGTCAGGATCACCCCTATAGAGAAAATCAATAAAATATAAATTATTCCACATCTGCTGTTATTATTTGAGCACATGTAGGAAGTTACGTGTTCAATTTAATATTACTTTCGTAAGCGTATTATTTCCAATAATTTTTTAAATTTTAATTTTTTAAGTTAAATATGTAGAAATTAGGCGGTTTCAAGATTATTTGAAGGCGGATAATAGCCCGTCGCCATTTACTTCTTCATGATTTATAACCAAATCGGGTCCCCCTTGGGAAATCCCAGCAGATGTTTAGGAAAATATTACAATAAAACGAGGATTTAGTCCAAGAATGAGTCAGACAAACCTTTTGAGAGGATTGTTTTTAACTGTTAGCACTTATTCCAGAAACTCGCCATGAACAAAAACAGAACTCCAGAGAAGATAAAAGTTTCACAGAATTTATCTTCCCTAGTGATTTCTAACAAATTAATTACTTACTAGTTACTAGAAGTTAACATGCTTAAAATAATATAATTCCTATTGTTATTTTCCTTTTGACAAATTTTCATGATGTAGATAATAGCTGATATTCTTGTAGTCATTGTTATTAAAAGCATCATTGTCCTAAAGGGCAACCTTCGGAAACGAATGGAGGGAATAAATGGATTCTATAGCATTACATCCTGTCACGCGATGACACACGAGCGGAACAAAGTTCCGGAAGGATAGCAGCTCTTATATCGAATTTCTATCGTTCGTCGACCACATTGAAGCCAGTCGAACGACATATGATCTTATTCACAAGGCACGTGCTCTGTCTTTTAGGTTTTATATCAGCTGTTCACGGATTATCACTGATCTTGTGAAACAGTCCGATTCTGATTGTAAAATGGTTTCAACGATTTCAGGCTAAATTAAATTTTGAGAAATAGAACATTTGTGAAATCGAAATGAATAGAAAACTTGAATGGAAAGATAGAAAGACGTCCCATTAAATGTATTCACCGTTGTATGCATATTATATCATTAAGTAATGCCGTATACATTACATTAAACCGTCTATTATCCGCGCATAATCATGTAAGTTACAATACTGTGGTTTTTTTTATTACATTTTCTATCGTAGTTGCATTCGTAGTAATTTAAAGGTTATTCTTTTAATGTATTTGAAAATACTTAGTTTATTGTGTGTGTGTGTGTGTGTGTGTGTGTGTGTGTGTGTGTAATAAATATATATAATTCGTATAATTTGAATATTTTTGTAGAGATTATATTTTCCATATCTTATCGTTCATAGATAATTATTATACATCAGATTTTTTAAAATCTTATATCGTATAAATTCATATTTGTTGTAGTTTTTGATTTTGAATTGAATTCGATTTCGAATAGTTCATGGTGAATATTAATGATCGAATTTTTCTTTGGCATTAAACGAGAAAATCCCTCATCTGAAAATCTATAAAAGTAAATATTTTAACCAGAAAATGTTAACATTCAGCAACGGTTTCAAATAATTACATGAATAATAATTCTTTGTTCCTTTGTTCCATTTCGTCCCGTTCCCCTACGTTTTGTTCCGTTCGTATTGTTCCCAACTCGGATTCGATTGTTTTTCATCGGTGTTTTGTTTGGTCGTAATTTCCGTTCGAGGGGTCGATAGATGCGAGATTATAGCATATATTTCCGGTTTTGCGCATCTGTCATCGTTTAACACTTGTCTTATGTATACTTGTCGTATATACATGTATTCGAAAGGAAAAAGAAAATTTAGTATCAGGTTTTAAAAGTACTAACCAATGCAACTTTTTCAGTTTCCTGTCAAGTCATTTATATGGTGTTTGTTAAAATTTTCGTGTTCGCTGACCACAACGACCTCGTACTTAATATACATGTTTGCTTTCAAAGTTAACTATAGATAGGCATTTTTAATTTCATGTAAAATGAAAATGAAAATTTTTTAATTGAGTCATTTGTTTTAAATTATACGAATGTAAGTATATCATAAATATTTACCATTAATTATCTAATCTATATTCCTTTTATTCATTGAGAAAATTTCGAAGTAAAATCTTTTGTTATTTTATAAAGGATTATATCAAAATTATACGTTCTGCGCATGACCGAACAGTTAGATTTTACCGCGAACTGTCTCTGTTTAGTACGTAAATGTGGAGATACCAGAAGTGAGAAATATTATTTGAAAATATTTCATCCAGGAATCGATTTCATCGATATTGTATCGATTCTGGCGAAGAATTCTATTTTCCATGAGTAGCATGGTTTAATACAAATATGCACATACAGTGGTAAGTAACAATAATCTAGTAATTAATTGTAACATATAAAAAGACTACCATTTTGTAGAAACTTTGTAATGTGTAGACGTTCCTCGAATGTGTTTATAAGTAAATAGTTTTGCGAGCGTACCCTCTGGCGACGAGCAGTCTCAGAGCATCTATATGACCTTCAAAGGCTGCCCATAATGTAGGGGTCATTCCTCCGTCATCTCGTGAGTTACAGTCCTTTTTTGTTGCTTCTTTTAAAATGTCTAAGGCACCATCGCGTGCAGCTCTATAGAAAAAACCAATTATTTTCAAATAATCATTGATCGCATAGAATTACTAAAAAATTTTATTACACTGTATTAGTATATTTTTTAACAGATAGATATTTCAATGATATTTACTATAAAGCTATTCTAAATTTTTAGTAAAAAATATTAATAACTAAGATTACGAGTTATTTTATAATAAATAATGTTAATAGAGAATTAATAATTAAAATATAGAATATAATTAAAACTATAAAGCAATTGTATTTCATTAAGAGATTATTAAATCTTTAAATAATTAGTAGTAATATTTCCAAGCATATTTTCCATTATAGGTATATTTTCAAGTAGTGGATATTTCATTGGTGTATAATTATCTTGTTTCTTCATAATGTCCTAGCTTTACTTATGAATTAAACTGCATATCTTCTGTCATGATAATGTGACATGGCACGTCATTGTTTTCTCTTTCACTTGAGTTTTCTTCTGTTAATTAGTCTTTGCCTAATTAAGAGCTATTATACAAAATTTTATATACCTACGTGTATATATATATATATATATATATATATATATATAAACAAAGAGATTCGTCGCATATGTATTTCATATGTATTTTGTAATAGTTTGATCATTTAATGTTATTCTATTTTATTTTGTAGATTACAAACTAGAAGAATGAAAAGATGTACATGAAAAATGAGAGCAAAAATGTTAGAGAAAGTATGTATTCAAGTTTTAATTAATTGCTTGCATGATAATTTCCTCTATGTTACAAATCATTAACCATGAATATATTTTCACATATATTGATTTTATTTAAATAAAAGTAGAAGTATTGTAAAAGAAAGGAATGCTCTTATTAAATTAAATAAGATTCTTAATTGTGACTTTTTAAATTAAATTATGATTATATATAATTATGCATAAATTATGATTATGTATAATTATGCATAAAATTTTATAAGAATATATATGTGTTATTATGAATACAATATTAATATTATGAAAAAAAGGAGTTTATAATTTTCCACGGTTTGTTAATTTATTATTATACATTTTTATCTTATAATTTATGATTAAAATATAATTTGAATTTTATCATTAATCGTCGTAATCTTATATACATACGATAAAATAGAATTAAGAGTATTTCTGTATATGCTGTATTTTATATTAATTTTCAAAATAACAATTTAATTTATTAAATATTTCTATTCGAAGATTGAATTATTGCTCCTTTTAATTAAATTGATATTTTTTTCAATGAAAGATGATATTGAGGAATGCCATGTACACCTGGTGGACGCTAGAAGTGAGCTGAATGATAAATCTTTCTGCTGAATCAAATAAAAGCAAAGGTGTTCTCCTGCATAAATTCCGCACGCGCTCGATGTATATACATATTCCAATGAGAGAGTATATAGCTATTGTACAATTCTAGATAAGGTACTTCAAATTTTTTAAATTTTATTATTCAATAATATTACATACATCATTTCAATTAAATGGTTGGCAGCTTTTTTACAAAATTTCAATATATAATATCTATAATAAACTAAGTACATTAATTTATTTATATTAATATAAAACTTTTGAAAAGTGAATAATTAAATTATTCTTTTTTAAATTAATTTTATAAAGAATTCATTATAATTGGGAAAAAGAGAAATATCTAAATCTATATATGAAATGGCAAGTTAAAAATAAAAGAATTTCATAGTATAATGTTGCAGTGATTACGAAACAACGAATTTCTCTGACTGATCTCCTATCGAATTCTGGTTGCTGATCAAGATTTCAAAGTGCAATAGTTCGTTCTCATGGTTAACCAGGCATGTCATTTTTTCACTCTAGTCAGAAACAAGAACCTGGCTCCACATTTCTCTGACATTTCTCTGCTTCCTGGATTTCAGATAGATATCTTGTTATAGTATATAAAAGCGTATAGGTAGGAGAAATAAGAACATGAAAACTCAGAAAGGTATGCACAAAGTCTGTTCCTTATATAAAAGGAAACTCACTTGTGAAACCGCTCGGACGTCATTCTGTTCCTCTGTCCCTTTAGGAAGTTTTCTTATCGATGGCAAAACATCCCTGCTGAAGGCAAGACTTTTTGGCACTTACTCTAGGAGAATCACTTTAGATAACAATAAATACAAGTATCATGAATTCTGCATGTTTTAACCACAGTAAAACAATCACACATGCTGAGTATGGCGTCCAGCAGTGTACTACTCAACGAACGAAGGTACTTGTGTAGTGTTCTGTGGCCCCTCACCCAGTCTATCTTGCTTTCAACCGTTAATTTGATAAATCCTCTCTCGCTCTTCCACCAGTTCCCGCCGTTGCTCACCTGAACTGGTACCCCCATAGGAATACTTCCCGCCATCTAGTGTTTAGTATTTCGTTGCATAAATGTGCAATCTATCTCTACTCTACCGACAAACTTCCATATTGTCTTTGAAAATTTTATAGCGTAATTGTGTTAACTATAGTTAATTTTTAACTTGTTAACATTAACATAATTTTCTATAATAGCTACGCAGTTTGATTTAATATATTTTAATTATGTAAAAATTTGAATGTTTTTTATAGATGCTTGAGATCATAGACATTTCAAATCTTGACTTTAAAATTTGAATTATTACTAGGTTAGATAAGTTGTTTTTCATAACAAAATTCTTTCATACATTACAGATTAGGAAAGTATTGTAATACGATCATTGGATTAGTCGGAGTCTTTTTATTAGAAATAAATTAGGAGTAGTTGTATAAGTTACCAGCGTGGAATGCCACGATTGGTAAGTGAATATTTTCAATATACTAATGAATAAGAACATTACATGGAATCTTACGTCTTGTTATAATGAACATGCTATGCTATAATGAACTATAAGACTATAACAGAAAAATTTCATTAAATATAATAAAAATTATTTTGAGTAATAAAATTATTTATGAAAAAACATTATTTCAATATGCATTATCAAATAAAAATTGTTGTTTGGTTATGCATGTCACATGATTCGTGAAAATATTTATAAACATATCACTTTAATTTAGACCAAAGTTTACACTTTGTTAAATTATTTGTCTTATTTAATACATGAAAAATATTTTTCGTTTCAAGTTGGACAATATATCCTTGTTCAAAATGCGCGCGTATTTGTGATTTTAATTTAAATAGAGATTACAGCGCCAATGAAACGGTGAAATATGAAATACACTTATTAAGATTCTCGAAAGTAATCGATACTTCTCACGATCGATCTATGATATTGTAACTAGTGTCACTTTTTAGTAAAAAGCATCGTCCAGGTAAAATTTACAATTAATAGCTTATAAACTTGTTTGCTATCTCGAGTACGTCTGCGATTTAGAAAAATTAATCATTACATATTTAGTATGTAATGGTTGGTACGTATTTATTTCCACATATTTTCACATGACTCGAAAATAGTTAAACAATTAGTATAGTAATTGCAGAATTTATGCTCCAAGATAATATAATTAATTAATTATATCATATACTAACGTCTTGCAAGTTAAAATAATAATTCATGTTAATAATTAATTTATACAGTAAGTTATGATTTTAATAAATGTTCTAAAGAATCATGTGTATTCATCAGTTCAATAAATTTTATTCGACCAAATTTGTAAATAATGTATAAATTTATACATAAATGTATACAGTGTATAATGTGTTCATTATTGAGAACATTCTCGAAGGACATTGTTTTTCTATGAAATTAGTCGAATTCTATTGGTGTATGGTCGCCCTTCCCCTTCCCACTAAATTACCCCCTCCCTCCACTCCCGTTTCGCGGGGATTAGTTCATTGTCAAAAATCGGTGTGTTAAGACGTATCTCTCTGCATCGTGACATTTATTAATTGTGTAATGCTTTCATCGTCATTCTTTTATCATTTATATCTACTCTGCGGTTAATTTCGTTTAATTAACGTACGTTTTTATTCTATAATACAATATTATAACTAAATTATAGCTAAATTATATTCTTTTCTTTGTATTGTCTTACATCGTAATGTGAACTTTTCAAATGGCATTTGACCTTGTTCATTGTTTTTTTTCCATAATAATTTGAAAGTTCTGATTTCTTTTTTGTACAGATTACGAAGTAATGCGTGTAAATTGATTGTGAGGAAATATGAGTAGAAATTCAAGCGAAATTCAAACCGACGCCACGTTGATTATCTGACCGAGTTTTATGGAGGTATAGTAATATCTAATTTATTTTAATGAAGACAAATATACTTATACGTTTACTTTCTCTTTTAATTGAATAAATGGTAACATTTATTTGGTTATCAATTAATATATATTGTTAACAACAAAAAATAAATTTGAACGTGTTCTGCGCATCGCGTCTTCTTCGTACTGCGCAGCTTTGGTTAACAATAAAAGCGCGCCATATTTGATTATTACGAAGTGTGAACATTTGAATTTCCAATGACATTCAGACGTATTATTATAAAAATTTTTGAATAAATTTTATTTTTCATTATTTAAAATTTTTTAAATATTTATTTAAGAAGTAAATGAGGCAATATATGTTTATATATATAATATAAGTAAATGAAGCAATATATGTTTTAAGAACAGAATTTAATATTTTACACGTTTTGTTGCAGATTTTTCACAATTTCTATCTTTTCTCTTTGAAAAGGAGCAGTGGTACTTCAAAGTTAAGCATGTAAGAATCCTTGCATATTGTAATTAATTTTATTTCTTGAATTTCTTTTTATTGTTGACAATAAAATAATTCTTATAGTAATTGAAATTTACTTGAATTAAAATTTCATTTTTATAACCTTTGTATTTTCAAATTTGTTGAACAATAATAATGTTATCTTATGTCATTATATTATGTTAAATTATATTATATTATGTTAAATTTTTGAAATAATTTAAATAATTTAAGATTATAAAGAAGAAAATTATGTCTCATGCTTTTTTATAAATTTTTTTCAGATTCTATTTCTTCTGTTTCTTCTGATTCTCTGAATAACTCGTATTTGAATTTGTACTTTACGATTACTTGTGTTGGCCTACAACAGTATCCATGACAACGTTCTTCGCATCTAATCGTGAGTCGCATGCATTTTTGTTCCTCTGGTCATTCAATCATGCCGTAGGATGAAAGATCGGCACGGGTGACTAGTTGTATTACGTAGATTTTTTTAATGAGCATAGTGACAGTGGGTATTTATTATATCCATGAATATCATTTTCTTGTATATGTTCTATTATTAGTTCAGGATAGGTTTTCTTGCATACCGAGGTTTTGAATGTTAATAAGAACGTACTAACAATTAATATGACCATAATACTAAGACAATATTACAATATAAAAAATTGATACGAATAACACAATGTTGATAAATAATATATGAAAATAACAGAGTGTATATGTATGTTCAACATGATTATTTGCAAAAATGAAATGTTCTTAAGAGTACATATTACTAAATTTTTACATATTATTAAATAAAATATGAATATTTAAATAAATGACGCATGTTACGATAATTCTGTTTGAATAGTGGAGAAGTTGGATACCCTCCAACTTCGTTGTCACGAACGTTGCAATTTTAATTAAAATTGTGATATGTATTATGGTCAGTCAAATTTGGAATTTTTACATCTCATGTGCAAGAAGACATTTCGCCACAGGTAGATTTCAGAATCAAAGCAATAATTTTGAACGTTTCTTTTGTGTTTACAAAGATGTGCTTTGATGAAGGAATCGCCTGAGGAT